ATCATCCTACAGCTTGTGGAAGGCAAGATTAGCAGTGTGGTGAAGTTTTTTTTTTTAGTTGTCAGAAAACTTCTATTAAAAACCCCCCACAAATATCAATGAGGATGAAGGAGGGATATCATCATTACACTATTTTGTTTACATTGTATTTGAGTTTTAAAAATTATATTTTGATTATATGATTACAGTTGTCTAATTTTTCCCCTTTACTGTCCTCTACCCAGCACCTCCCATTCCCTAAAGCAATCCCCACACAACTGTTCATGCCCGTGGGTTGTGTGAATAAATTCTTTGGCTACTCCATTTCCTATACTGTACTTTACATCCCCATGGCTGTTCTGTAAATACCTATTTGTACTACTTAATCCCCTTACTTCTTCACCTATTCCCTCAAATCCCCCCTCCCATCTGGCAAACATCAAACTGCTCTCTGTTATCCATGATTCTGTCTCTGTTCCTCTTGTTTGCTTAGTTTGTTTTTAGACTCAATGGTTGACAGATATGTATTCATTGCCATTTTATTGCTCATAGTTTTGATCTGCTTTCTCTTAAAAAAGTCCTTTAACATTTCATGTAATAATGGTTTGGTGATGATGAACTTCTTTCGTCTTTTCTTCTCTGGGAAACTTATAACCTGCCCTTCAATTCTAAATGATTCCTATGCTGGGTAGAGCAATCTTGGCTGTAGTTCCCTGCTTTTCGTGACTTTAGGTATTTCTTGCCAGTTCCTTCTAGCCTGCAAAGTTTCTTTTGAGAAATCAGCTGATAGTCTTATGGGAACTCCCCTCTTGATAACTAACTACTTTTCTCTTGCTGCTTTTAAGATTCTCTCTTTCCTTTAACCTTTGGCATTTTAATTAGGATGTGTCTTAGAATGGACCTCTTTGCATCCATCTTGTTTGGGACCTTCTGCTTCCGGGACTTGCATGTCTATTTTCTTCACCAAATTAGGGAAGTCTTCTTTCATCATTTTTTCAAAAAGATTTCCAATTTCTTGCTCTTTGTCTTCTCCTTTTAGCACCCCTATGATGCGAATGTTGGGATGCTTGAAGTCGTCCCAGAGGGTCCTTACATTATCCTAGTTTTTACGAATCCTTTTTTCTTTGCTTCCTTATGTTCCAAATCATTGATTTGATTCTTGGCTTCATTCATTCTACTGTTGTTTCCCTGTAACTTGTTCTTTATTTCACTTAGTGTATCCTTCATTTCTGACTGAATCTTCTTTATGCTGTTGAGGTCCTCATTAAGTTCCTTGAGCATCCTTATAACCAGTGTGTTGAATTCAACATCTGATAGGTTTCTTATTTCTATTTCATTTAGCTCTTTCTCTGGAGTTTCGATCTGCTCTTTCATTTGGGCCATGTTTCTTTGTCTCATTTTGGCAGCCTCCCTGTGTTTGTTTCTATGTATTAGGTAGAGCTGCTTTGAGTCCTTGTCTTGGTAGTGTGGCCTAATGTAGTAGGTGTCCTGTAGGGTCCAGTGGCACAGCTTCCCCTTTCACCCACGCTGGGTACTTGAGATGCACCCTTTGTGTGGGCTGAGTACACTCTCCTCTTGTAGTTGAGCCTTGATAGCTGTTGGGAGGTCAATGGGAGTGATTTACCCAAGCCAGTCAGCTGCAAGAACTGACTGTGACCAGTGACCACCAATCTCCTCCCTAAGTGGAGGATCAGCTGTTCAGGAGCAGGGTGGGGGTTTTCCAATGTGGTCTGTATCTGTCCACAGGGTGCGCAGGCTTGGGTTTCCTGGGTATTGCAAACCAAGGTCAGCTACCACCTGTGTTCTTCTGGAGCCATCCAGCATGAGCTACAAAGCAATCTGCAAATGGCTGCTCCTACGGCTGGGCTTAGAGGTTCCCAAGCAAAGCTAAGCTGTGAATCTACATTGGCTGCTGCTAGTGTCCAGCCTGGCACCACTTAGCAAGAGCTACGGGGTTGCAATTGTGGGCTCCACGAGGCTGGTTGTTGCTTGTTAGAGAAGATTTAGGAAGATGTGAAGGATGAGCCAAAACCAGCCATTCGAAGGGAGAAGCCACTGTTCACAGCCTGGGTGGGCCCCAAAAGCTGGGTATGACAGCCTAAGGGAAACACCAGGGCAGGCAAATAGTGTGAGCCAGGTTGATGGAGTCTCAAATATGGCTGCCTCCTGCCAGCTCTGTGGCTCTGTTGGGGGATGGTTCATGCAAGAAATGAGGCTTCTGACAGCTGTTCTATCTGGGAGAATGTCCCCCAGCTCTCGCCCTGAGGCCAGACACTTCAGTTCCTCTCTCATGTCACTTGTGCCTTTCAAGCTGCTACCCCAGTGCTAGAGCTCAGAGGGAGTAAGTCTGAGTAAGTCCATGTGTGGGTCTTTTAAAGGAACTGCTTGGGAATCTAGAAGTTTCTCTCATTGACTTAATCCCCACTGGTTTTTCCAGCCAGAAGTTATGGGGACTTCTCTTCTGGACACTGGAATCCTGGGCTGGGGAGCCTGGTATGGGGCTGGGACTCTTCATTCCCGAGATAACCCTCCCAAATATTTATCCACCACAGCACCACACATGGGTGTTGGCGTCTCTGCCCCTCCTGCTAGTCTGGATGGATGTGGTTTCTTTAATTCTGTAGTTGTCAGACTTCCATTCAACTTGACTTCTGATGGTCCTGAGTAATGGTTATTTTATAGTTTAGCTGTAAATTTGATGTGGTTGTGTGAGGAGACAATCTGTTTTACCTACACCTCCATCTTGGCTGAAAGCCCTCCAAAATCCACATTGTATATGATTTTAAAAATAGGTTCCTAGATATCCAAGAAACAAGAGCCCACAATGAAGATCCACACAAAGCAGAACTGAAACAGTACCAGCAGGGCTTCCTTTTATTTCTCTGCCAGAGGCTGATTACATTTCGACAGAGGGCAAGCTTTTTGCCAGAATCACAGTTATTCTGGAACACACATGCCTGCCTGAAATCCTAAACCAACAGCAGCCAGCTACCTTGTAGGACTGTAACACTTAAAGCCAAGTCTGCTGTTACAATGAAAAGAGCTCAATTACTGCCCTTACATCTCCCAGAAAGAACACAGACCAGCAACAAGAGAGGACATAGACAAGATTGCTATCCTCTAAAAAGCCTTTATTTAAGATTTGTTTGAACCTTTATTTAAGATTTGTTTGAAAGAGAAATGAGATACTAAGATATACCATACTAGGTAACATGAAATCTATTTTTAACTTTAACTCATCCACAAAACAGAACAAAAATTCAGCAGCATTTACAAGTAAAATGCAATCATCAGTCATGCCAACAATACATTATGCAAGTTTTATCTAAATAGACTGACTAGTATAAATCTGAAAGAAGAAATCTAGACAGAAAGAATTGTCCCAACAGAAAGAATCAAAAAATGTCTTGATAAATAAATAAACAATAACAAATACACAGTATTGAAGCAGTATTTTAAAGTATTTTAGGGGATGCTTCTTCCTGTTACTATTCTTACAGAATCAAAATTATTACAACTTACCAAAGTAGTACAAAAGAAAAAGTAAAAGAACAGATGAACTAGAGGACATATTTACAAAAAAACCAAGTTTGTATGAAGCTTTTATGGTTAATCCTTTCGATAGTCAATCTAAGAAAATATTTGGCGTGCATTGTTACATTTATTACCTCTCTTCTTGTTCCCATTTCTTCAACAAATGGAACAAGGTAACAAAACACTTGGTTCTCTAGCAGCTACCTGTTCTAAGCCCTGGTCTTTGTTTACCTCTTTGTAGAGAAACCAGTCTGATAACTGTCAGTTTTTCACAAGACAACTCTAACTTCTCCACAAACTGACAAACTGAATGACAGGAAGGGACCAACCACAGAGCAGGTGTGGATATAGTTATGTGCAATACATTAGAAAAGAACAGTCTTCAATTGTCACAAGATGTGTTCTTCAACCATTAACTCCTCTGTTTAAAACTAATAATGTCCAAATCTGCCCCAAACTACCTGCAAACCCAGGGAAACTTACTAGAATTAGTGGGAGGAAAACATTTATACAAGTTTCATAGAAACTAGTCCTATGAAACATTTCATATAACTAGAGATGGTTTTATATCAACCTTAATTACAAGATAAAGAACTGTTTCTTCTAAACAAATTAAAATGTTTCTAAATGTTTCCAAAATTGTTAATCCTTAAAAATAATATAATTATTTCGACTGCTATTTTCAATGACTAGTTAATTATTCATAAGATTAGGAATGACAAAATCAATTAAACTCTTTGCTTCCAATTTGACCATATGATGCATTTTTCATGTTTGGCTGCTTTTTAAGACAATGGTTAGATGATTAAATTTGTTTCTATACTAAATATTAATAAATATCTTATATTTTAAAAAAGATTCAGTCGCCTTGACCAGTGTGTCTCATTTGGTTGGGCACTGTCCTGCAAAGTGAAAGACTGCCCACTTAATTCTTGGTCAGGGCACATGCCTGGATTGCAAGTTTGGTCCCAAGGTTGGGATGCATGAGAAAGGCAACCGATCAATGTTTCCTTCACACATCAATGTTTCTTTCCCTCTCTTTCTCCCTCTCTTCCCCTCTCTCTAAAAATAAATAAATAAGACCTTAAAAAAAAATGAATCTGCCATATTCAAGAAAATGATAAAATTTTCAAATGATTTTATCTTTTAAAGTAGCATTGTGAAAGGTACAAAGTTCACCAAAATTACTGGTTTTTCCAGTGATTTCTTTTCTGCTTGTTATTTTTTATTAATTATTTTTGATTCATCATGCTTAACGTTATAGTTAGCATCATCTAATGTATACATCATCTAATGCATACAGTGATTCATGACTGCAATACTATATATAGGTGAAGGAAAATTACTATGTGGGATCATATGCAAGAGAAAAAAATCAACCTTAGTATTTTTGTAAATGCTCACAATTATTTCCTGTAAAAAGAAAGATGTGAGAAAAGCAGTAAGAGCACCAACATATACTTAGTACAAACACAGATTCTACTCACCAGTTTGATAGCTACATATTCATTGGTGTAGAGGTTTTTACCTAGGGAAAAAGCAAAATGTATGTTTTAGTGACATTTATTCTGGAAAATGCAAAGCAAACCTGTAGCTTACAGGTCATGAGAAAGGTCACATTACCATATACGTAATATTGTTTGTAAGTGAAAAGCTAAACAGAGATGATGAGACCCAGCAAGACAAAAACAAAAACAGCTTGACTATTTGAAAATTTAAGTTAGACATGAGAATTAAAAAAAAAGAGAGAAAACAATTCTCTTTTTCTGTCTCATATATTCATTTTGTTATTTAACATTTTCCAACTATTAAACCATGAGGCAAAAAAAAAAAAAAAAAAAAAAAAGGAGGGAGAAGAAGAAAAAGCCATAATTTCAAAGACACAGAGATTTTAACTTTTGGCACAATAAGCACAAACCCTCAATTTTCTAACTCACTGAAAAATGGGGATGTTTAATTCATCTTTTTATGCCTAGCAACAAACATATCTCAGTGGTCCCCAACCCTTTTGGCACCAGGGACCAGTTTCCTGGAAGACGGGATGGGTTGGGAGGGGCGGTTCGTAGTAAGGCAGAGCTCAGGTGGGTTTAGCTCCCTCACCAGCTATGGAGGTGGGGGAAGGAGACAGGACTTGGAGCTCCAACGAGCTTCGAGCTTTGCTGGCAGCCAGGTTCCTAACAGGCTGTGTGAATCAGAGGTTGGGGACTCCTGTAGTTATCTGATATACAATAGATAAACAGATGTTTGCTAAGGAGAACGAAGTTGACTTGATATCCGGAGAAGGTTCTTCTGAGAAAGTTATAGGGCAATAAAAAAAGGTTAGTTTAGAATCAGATTATGGGTAATCCTAAATGCAAACATAGGAGTTTCAACTTCATTATTCACCTTGCTGTGAAACTGTCAAAGATCTTGTGCTAAGAGAAAAAGCATAATGGTGAAAATTGTATTTTTAAAATACTAATCTGGTCCCAGTGAATAAGATAAAAGAGAGGATACATAGAAGTAAGATACATAGCAAGTTTTTATAGCAAAACATTTAAAGATTAACGTCTACCACATACAGTGTGATTATGAAGATTACATGAGTTAGAACACATCAAAGTACTTTGTTAGCTGCAACATGCTGGATAAATCTAATTTTTATTACTTCTTTTATCATTGTAGGTATGAGGCAATAATTTCTGAAAGAGAACAACTTAAAAATAGGATTTATAATCAAGGTATTTTTAAGAAAAATCTAACCACTTCTGGATTGTATGTAAACATGAGGGATAAGGAAAAAAGAAGGGTCAAAATTGAGGCTCAATCAGTGCAGAACAAAAAGAGAATGGAGAAAGCAGGCAATGACCATTCCACTCTACCATGCCTTCCTCCAAGTTCTCACTAAATTATAAAAATGATAGACAAATTGAGAAATGCCCTCATCTTCAATTTTTATATCTGTATAAAAGAATATAATTGTAGAAGCATAATAAATGAGACAGTCTGTGTAACACCAAACATGATGACTGACATATCACAAAATGCTAGCTTGCTTTTATTTGCTTATTTTTGGGGGAGGAGGCGCGGGCACCAAAAGAACTGAACACATGTCACCCTCCTACAAAGCAACTATCCTTACACCTAGAAGCACTGGAAGTGACTAGATAATTCTCTGGAGCTATGCATTACTTGAATAAATTCCTTTGCCAGGGGGCATCATTAAGACAGAACAGGCCTACACAAAATTCTTCCACCTGGGAAGCTAGACAATTCCTCAGTCACTATCCTCAGTGATAGACAGTACTCAAAAATTTTGCTCTAGAAGACACCCTGGCCAGGTAGCTCAGTTGGTTAGAGTGCTGTCCCATTACACCAAGGTTGTGGGTTCAACCCCTATTCAGGGCATATACAAGAAACAACCAATGAATGTATAAACAAGCAGAAGAACAAATCGGTGTTTCCTTCTTTCTCTCTCCCCCCCTGTTCCTCTCTCTAAAAATCAATAAATAAAAACATTTTTTTAAATTTGCTCTGGAAGAATTTAACTACATAGAGAGTTAAAATCCTGCCCATTTAAAATGAATGACTGCTTCAGCTAAATACTGATATATATATGAATATATACTGATTTATGTAATATATCAATAATTGTGAGAAAGGCAGGGAATTTAATGCATAGAAAAATACCCTTGATTAGATGGCACAATCCCAAGCACTCAAAGCTTTTAGTGTCTGTTACACAAAATCCACAATGCTTCCCAAGCTCACTTCCTGGCTATTGGTTCTTTTACTGTTAATGGGGGGGGGAAAACTGCATTAGATAGTAGTTTTTGGAGCTTTACATCTAAACTCAGTCCATTTGCTGCAGCAGTCCTGGATGTGATGCTGCCCATAAAATTCACTGCATGAAGACTTCCTATTTCATTTAAGACACCTACAGAGACAACATTTACCATAAGCTTCATCAGACACCAAGCATTATTTCAAAGAATGAGCAGGTCTCAATTCTCAGTCACACTGATAAAGGAACATATAGCCTCAGGCTCTCAGTTTGAGTTAGATCTCCAGCTTTCACATTTCCTTGCCCTAAAGTGAAAGCAGTACATTGATGAGTTACTACCTTGAACTTGTAAAAAACAAAATCCAGCCAAAGAACTTAAGGTAATTAGTAGTTAAAACAAGAAGCCACTTTTATGTAACTCAGACTGGCTACTATAGGTCTATGTAGGGCAAAGAGGACAGGCTAGCCTATTGTATCCACTATTCAGAGAGCATCTCTTTAAGTGGGCAGTATGATTAGGGCACTACAACTTTAAAGAAAAAAGCCAGAGGTCCTTCTCATTTATATTGGCTTAATTTTACTAGTATGTTAGTATACTATGCAGAAACATTTTCCAAATGGTTAGCAGTTAACAGCAAGGATAATGAAACTTGGAAAGTCCATCTGACTCTAGGACTCTTTTAACTATTTGGAAAGAGTAACAGCATGACATCTAAAACTTGTTTTAGTTGGTTCCATCCACAAATCCCACAAATTTGCAAAGTTATTGAAAAATCTTAACAAGGTTATAAAAAAAGTACAGCATATCAGTTTTTGTTGTTGTTGTTGTTGTTGTTGTTGTTTTGTTTTGTTGGCCGGCCTGGGTTTTGGCTAATATAGACAGTTCCATTTCAAAATGCTAAGATTTCCTAAGAAACTAGTAATAAAAAAGTAACATTTGATATTACAATGACTTCATTTCCAACTAGAGAACACTTTCAAATCTCACGTATCTTAAGACTACATCCTTTCAAATGAACAATTTTCAAAAAAAATTTTCTCTTAAAAGATTTTATTTATTTATTTTTAGAAAGAGGGAGAGAAACATCAATGTGTGGTTGCGCCTCTTACTGAGGGTCTGTCCTGCAGCCCAGGCAGGTGCCGTGACTGGGAACTGAACCAGCAACCCTTTGCTTCACAGTCCAGTGCTCAATCCACTGAGCCACACCAGCCAGGGCCAATTTTCAAAAATGTTTAATGTAGCAGAACCATATCTTTCAAACAAGATCTTATTTAAAATTTACTATATAGGTAACAGAGAAAGACTGAATCCTGCTTGCTCACTTTTCCTTTTCCATTCTTTTCTAGTGGGAAATAGGGGCTCCAAGACTTTGTGGAACACAATATGAAACCAATTGCTTTAGATAATATGCATCTGTAAACTGTTATTGATCACAACTGCCCAAAACAGAATTGGCTGCAGAAGCTGATGTTAGTTACAAATTCCAATTTAAATTCATTAGTGATCGTCAAGTAATTCAAGTAAGAAAAGAACAATTTGCAGAGAAGCTGTCACATACACCCTACTTTAGTCATAAAAGTTAGTGCCTTATTTTAGAAGCCAAGGAGGATTGTGTCACAGGACAAGCTGCTATCCTTAGCCAATTTACCTTTGTCAGAAACATCCTTCTGTGCTAATGTACTTTTGCATATTTCACAGGATACCAAAGAGGGAAAAGAGCAAAAAAGTCAACTCTTCGTGCCTCCATTTTCTTGTCTATAAGCAAAAACATTCTCTAATATCCTATTTCACAAGGATAATGTGAAGAATATTAAACACAGGTATTTAGCTATTTAATATGAAAGAAATGTCACCTATCTACTTATTCTTGCAACTAAGAAGGAAAAAAAAAGTTATTTGTAGACTAGGGATACACATTTTCTTAATTCTGTAGGAATACAATAATTTGTATCTTAATGCTTACATGATTCTTTCTAAGCCTGATTCAGCAGAAGACTCACAACTTAGAAACAAATCCTCAAAACATTCCCCATGTTTCTCAATTAATAAAAAAGCAACCTGTAATCTGTTTCCAGTTCTTTGTGTTCTCCTACCTTTTATCCATGACCAATCTTCATCAATCTTCCTTTCTCAAATATTCAAAATTTCTTTCTATTGAGGCAATATACAGAGGTAAGAATAGTAATAATCTTCCCATTAAAAAATAGACAAAGGCTGCCAAGCAGCAGCTCTTAGAAGGAGAAATATAAATTAATGTGTAAAAATGTTCACCTTCACCCATGAACTAATGCACATCTAGTAAGGTACCATTATCTGCATCAGACTAACATAGATGAAAAGATTCTTGATAATGTTCAAGGCTTTTGAAGGGGCAGGGAAACAACCAAAGAAATGCGTGTATGTGCGCGCGCGCGCACACACACACACTCACACACACAGAGTGAATGGAAATCATCTTTCTGGAGGGCAAACTGACAATGTGTGACAAAACTGTACATATGCATATCCTTTGACTCAGAAAGTACACTTCCAGAATTTATCCTAAGAATAATAAAATAACCAGCCAAGTTTGGACTACAGAAATGTACTACAAGTGTCTTCAAGAATGTTCAGTACATCACTGTTTATAATATTAAAAAACAAAAAAGAATTATATGTCTTTGGAGATACTTCTAAAGTAGAATTTTAAAAAAAATTTTTTAAATAAACATGTCATTTTCTGTTTTAAAATTTTTCTATAAAGAATATTTTTTGCTTTCTATTTATTGTTTTTTTTCTGATTACAAAATACATACACTCATTAAAAAGAAAAAAAGAACAAAGGGGGGAGGAGAAACACCTTAGAAATAAACAAACAGAAGTGAGAGACCAAAGACAGTAATTAATTAGTAGTCTCCTGCTTGGCCCTTAGGGCACAAGGCTCTGCTTAACACCCCACACCTCTAGAAACTCTTCTTTTTACTTTTCAACTTCTCCAGTCTTCAGGCTCCTTCTTGTCTAGCATCCCTTAAATGCACCCTCTTTCTCCCGTTCATCCAAGTTCAGCATCATCTCATCATCCAGGATTGTATGTTTATTAACACATATATGGTGATGAATTCTTAATTCCTATTCTCAAGACTAAACTTTTCTAAATTGCAGATTCACATTTCTGTATATGCTGCACACTCCTCAAAGTCAATATATTCACAAACTCAACCTGATTTCACCACCACCATTCTAGTCCTATATTTCTTCTCTCCATTAAAGGTTTACTCAGTCACTTGGTCTCCCCAAGCTGACAAACTAAGTCATCTTTGACCTCTTCCCCTCAAATCATGCCTAGAGTCTACTTCTGAAATTCCTCCCTAATTAATTCCTTCCTCTCCATCTCATTGTCATTTTCAGAGCTAAGAACAAAAGCAGGCCTGGCCATTTCTGACCTGGACTATAGAGCCAAACAAACATTCTTAAGTGACTATTATATGCCATACACAGTAAAAGGAGTTGAGACTACGAAAATTTAGTAAAGCAAAGTACTACCATCAAGCCTATCTGGAGACAGAGAGATGGAAGAAGATAATACAATATGTCCAGTACTACAATTAGAGCAAAATCTGTAAGATGTCAATCTCTTTCCTATCTGAGCAAATCTTACAACTACCTGAATTATCTTTTTAGAATACAAACCAGATCATGTCACTCATCTGTTGTAAAACCCTGATGATTCTACTCCACTGCCTATAGGTTAAAGTCTAAATGCTTTAATACCATGCAAAATCTTCATAATCTGGTCCCACCCTACCTAATAGCTTCATCTATTACTTTCCTTTTTCACTTTACACCCCCTTACCCAGCCATTTATAACTAATTGCTGCTCTAATATATGCTAACCAGTTTCACAACACCTAATGTTTGAGCATCCTCCCGCTGCCAGAGAGCCCTTCTTCCTTGTGCCAGCCAATGGGAAGTCCTGTCCTACTCTCAGCCTCTGACACTTTCATTACTCTTCTCTGCCGATGTAGTTTTTACACAAACCATTATAATACTTATCACTTTGTATTATAATTTGTTTTTTTTCTTTCCCTCTATCACTAGCTGTGAAATTCCTAAGGACAGAAAACATATTCTATTATTCCCATAGTCTGGAAAGATAGTAAACATTTAAGGAATGTTTGTTAAATGGATAATGAAGTGAAAACAGATCTGCAGAGGACCAAAAAGTACTAATTCTAACATTACAGTTTTGGTTCAGTCTGGAATTCACGCCATTAAAGCCATTACCTACTACCACCCCCACATACCAGAAGCCCAAGGAAGCCCATGGTATTTTTCTTCCCTCTTCCTATTCATCTGGCTATCTATCCATTCATTCCACAAATAACAGTGAGTAATACAGGCAGAATTCTTACCCCCTACGGGGCTTATATTCAAGTAAGAAGAGAGAATTAACAGGTACACAACTATATAAAATCAATTCAGATAGTGATAATGTGATGAATAAAATAAAGCAGTTATACGGGACAGAATGTGGCTGAGAGAGAAATGTGCTACTTTAAAACAGAAGGGGTGCCCTGGCTTTGTAGCTCCGCTGGTTAGAGCACCGTCCTGATATGCCAAGGTTGTGGGTTTGACACCCAGTCAAGGCACATACAACAATCAACCAATTAATGCATAAATAAGTGGATAACAAATCAATGTTTCTTTCTGTCTCCCTTTTCCTTCCTCTCTAAAATCAATAAAACAAACAAAGAAAATGGATGTGGAGAAGTCAGAGAAAGTTTCTCTGAGGCTGTAACATAAAAGCTGAGGGCTGAAGAATGAGAAGTAATCAGCTAAGCAAAATTTGGGGGGGAAAATCTGCAGGCAGAAATAACTAATAACTATAAAAGCTCCAAAGCAGAAATGCACTTGGCTGTTTGATGGACAGAAGAGACAGTGTGGCTAGAATAAAAAATTAGTTTGGAGAAGAGTCATAACCCTGTAACCAGAAGCCTTGGTGGATGACCATCTCTGCACCTGCCTTGAGTTTGGAATGTCCTAGTTTACATCTTTCTGTTGTCTATACAGTCTTCTACTTACAAATATCAGAGTAAGAAAATGATGGAATGGGGTATAATGCACACCCTCTTTCTAGAAATATGTCAAATGATTCTGAAAGTACCTTTTCTGGTTCCTGTTGATAAAAAGTACTCCTAGACACAATGCTATAACAATATGGTCCCAGGGCTAATGAAAACCTGATAAGCACGCAAGAATAAAACCACTTGAAAAGAAAGACAAGGTCTTTCTACTGACAACAGGCAAGTCAAAATGAGAACAAAATTATCCTACATTCATGAGAGGAAATAAAACACAACACTCTACTACTCTGAAAATACACATGGGCTACAAATTTACCCTTTATCCTTTTAACTAAACGGATTTTTCCATCCCTGCCTAAACTTAAAGATCATATATTACAAATCTAGACCTAAGTAAATGAAACAATTTTGGTTTTCATTGACCAAGGTTTTTCTTCAATTTTATAGAAATTAAACAATTTTATGATATTTTGAGAATATATGGATTTATATGCATTATTATCTGCCTCTCAGCACAATTTTGTGGATGTTTATGTCATAATCTATTTGATTCAAGTACTACCATAATGTTAGAGCAAAGTCAATTCATTATGTAAATGAATGTTTATGAAAGTAGCTGTTAAAGCAACTCAGTAGTTACTAGGAACCCAAGCAGTATGAAATCACACATCCTACTCCTATGCCTGTAGCATCTGCTGGCTTTGCTAACCCGAACATGAACACATCACTAAATGTGAAGAGCCTTTCATTATCCTAGTCAGGTCTTCAAATTCCAGGATGCCAGCCTTCTATCAGTAAAAATAAATTCATTCTCAGCACCTCCAAATTCAATTCTGCACCCAGTAATCTCTAGCTAGTATCGTGGTATTTCCCTGAATCTCTCTATGGGGGACCAAAGGTAAGACTTTTTCCTTCTTTTGCAGAATCGTCAGAAGTAGCAGAGGTAACAAGTAATAATCGTCTTATGCTCCTACACTCCCATTCCCCTAAGGGCCAAAGTCTCCTACGAGAGGTCTTCATAATAATCCACAGGGTCAGTGTTTATGAAGAAAAAGAAAACACTTTAGCTTAAAAGAGGACCTCTTCACATTCTCCAAGATGATATCCGAATTCATACATTTGTAAGATCTTTAATTTTCTCTTCCTCAATTATCTAGGAGGTGAGTCATATATAAATACCCAATATTCCTCCTTCCCAATTCCATATCTTCAAATTGGTATATTTTGTCATTATTCACCATCTCACTCAAAAATTTATACTTGAAATAAAAAATCTATTTCCTTGTGGGAAATAAAATTGCATAATTTCGTCCTCAAGTTTTAGCTAAATCCTGATGCTGGGACTTCTGGGAAGAAATGCAAACATAGTATCAGTTGGAAAGCCTCTCTAAACAGGATGTATATCCTTGCAGATTAAATTTGGGTATTATTGCTTTATTAGGGGCAGGGTTTGAATTTGAACAAGACTTTACTCCCTTCTCAAGGTGTGGGGTTCGGGGCCAATAGATCTAGAGTACCTGGGGATCTGTTAAAAAGACAGAATTAATTTAGGGCTCTACCTCTCAGACCAACTAAATCAGAATCTCCATTTTATTCATTTTATTCTATCTATATGCAGATCTCCCTGTATCATAAAATCTCAGAATTGTTGGAAAATTTAAAAGCCTATAATCAAAGACATAAACCTTGCATAACAATTATAACTGATAATGACAATCTCATTCACAAACTCTTTAGTCCTTGTAACAACAGGTCTTCCTTAAAAGAATTCCCATAAAATTATAGACTGTCTTAAAACACACCACAGCTTATTATAGCTGCTGCTGTTGTTAGTGGAAACCACTGATATAACCAAGTTCTTACCTAATCTGAGCTCTCCGAAGTTCCCACATCCTATCTTCTTGCCAACTCTGAAGTTGGGTCCCACCATAAGAACTCCAGAGGATGTTGAGGAGCCAGATGGTCGGGAACAGTGTGTACTCCTTTGTGCCATGGGTTTAGTGGTCCGTTGTTTTTCATCCTTCTCCCTACTAGGGTGGTCCATGATCCTACACGATAGAGTCTCTCCACAGTGAGTAGCCTCAGGATGTATACCTCTCTTCAATACAAAAGTGTGTCCAAATAAACCGTAGTCAGAGAAAGGTAAGAACTTCTTTTGGCACCATATTTATGTTTCTAATATATCTCCAAGGGATGAAAAACCACTGGATCGTTCTTGTAGGACATGTAGTCTGTAGGTCTCAAGCATAGGAGGATATTTTGTAATCTAGGTAAAAATAAAAAAAAACAGAGTTAAAAATGTAATTTTAAAACAAATTGAGAGTGTTACCACTAATTAGAATGGCTCTTATCCAAAAATGAGCAAAGTGAATAACTTCCTAAAATGGGTTTTCGTTTTATATCCTCCAACAGTTTAGCCATCTGGACTAGTTATTCATGAGGTAACATAAGCTCAGTAGGCTGTACAACACGGCAGCTATAGGAACACACAAGCCTTTAATGTGAAATGCCCTCTTCTAATACTGTACATGTGACCCAAAAGGAAGTTATTTGTTGGCTTTTTTATCACTGGCTAACAGAAAGATAAGGCAGGGTTAAACCTAGTTAAATAAACTGAGGACAATTAAAAGGCCTTCCCTTTAATTTGGACAGAACCTGTAAGAAATGAGGTCACACACCCTCCCTCCTCCGACCCCACCATTTATCAAGCACTGACAGCAATCACACAATCCCAAACAATTTACTGATGACAGAGACTACTTCTATAAAGGACTTTTCAAACCCCTAGTGGTATTAAGCAGTCCTAGACTAAAACAAAGCTTTGGAAAGCTCAACTTTTGGTCTAGTTTTCATTGTGGACTGAGTACACAAAGGCAGAGTGCTGGAAGCTGATCTTGTGCACAAATCCAAAGTGAAAATAAAACTGAGAAACAAAAATTCTTAAACAAACCTCATCCCCGTGGGAATTCTCCAGCGTCCCAAGTCAGGACCAAGCCCAAGACAAAAGTTTAAAATGAGACAATTTTGATGCTATTTTCCTTTTCTTTTAAGATTCTATTAATTTATTCCAGAGAGATGGGAAGGGAGGGAGAGAAACATTAATGTGTGAGAGATATATCAATCACACACCCTGCTCTAGGGACCTGGCCAGCAACCCAGGCATGTGCCCTGACTAGGAACCGAACCGGTGACCTTTCAGTCCACAGGCTGGCACTCAATCCACTGAGCCACACCAGCCAATGCTGATGGTATTTTGATAATCCAGGTGAGTATCCTTAACAAAAAAATATTCTTATCATTAATACACACTTACGTTTCACTTTCATTAAATATTTCCCTTAAAATTTCAAAGAAGAAGAGAACTGGAACTGCTTGGTTATTATCATATAAATAATACACAATAAAGCAAAAGTATCTAGTCTGTAAGTTTCTTATGTAAACCTGTGAGATGACCATTCAAATGGGTACATAATCCAAGAATATGTTTACTTAATTATAGTAGTAAAAATTGTTTATTCTCATCTTTCTGTTTTCCTTGCATTATTAAAACTGCACAATGACTTTAGGCTTCCACACAGCTAATCATTAACAAAATACATTTCTCTGAATTCAGAAAATACATCTACAGTCATAATGTATACTAAGGAAAAAAATGAGGGCGATGAGACGAGGTCAGCAATTAGTGCTTTACCTACATAAGCAACATTATGAATTTATGTTTTTCCTCATTCTTTTTCATATTTCCAACTGTACCTAATATTCTCCGATTATCTTTGTTCTTCACCCAAAGTTCTTCAAACAATATTAGTAAGAACATGGAAATACAATTTAAGATGTTTTATTTAGACAGTCCCATCTTAACTGGTGGGAGTATGTCTCTGTATGAGAAACTGTCAATCTGTACTTTCTTCCCTTATACTATAAAATTTTTTGAAGACAGAAGTAGTATGTGTCTTAGCGTATACAAACAATTTTGAGCATTCAACTAACACCCAAATTTTCATAAATTACAATATCACTCACATAATAGTCTCATTTATAAGATTTGGAAAACTGTACTACCTTATCTGTTGTTCTTTATATTTTTATTTCTATCCACTGTTATATTAACAGATGGAGGTTATTTCTCTAATACTTGTCATTAACTTTCTCCATTGCACTTAGACACATGTAACATTAGGTGAAGTAATCAGACACAGCTCTCCTTTTCCATGTATTACTTGCATGTACACATTAGGAAAACATATACAATACTTGCAAGGTTAGAAACCTGCAGAAAACCAAAAAGTGCCTTCAGCTGGGAAAAAAATGATTTTAACATGTGCCTACAGACCAGAATAATACCTTTACTTCCTACATATATGGCAAAAACTCACAGTTAAGATTCCAAATTTCTAATCTATGCTTGGGACATCAGTACAGTCTCTTCCATAGTTAATGAAAAATGAATATTCAGTATCAGTTTATGTGGTACCTCTCATTTAAGAAGGCAAAATAACTGAACTAAAATTTTAAACATCCTATTTCTTTATCACCACCACCCACTGCTCAAAACTAATTCCTATTTTTTTTAAATTTTTATTTATTTATATTTAGAGAGAGGGTAAGGGAGGGAAAAAGAGAGGGAGAGAAACATTGATCATTTCCTCTCACATGCGCCCTGAATGGGGGCTGAGCTTGCAACCCAGACACGTGCCCTGATGGGTAATCAAACCAGCAACCCTTCATTTTATGGGATGACACCCAACCAACTAGGCCACACTGGTCAGGGCTCAAAACGAGTATTTGCTTCCCAGTTACAAACTTTTTGGCTTGTCATTTGAGTCCCTTCAGTATCAACTCCTTATTTAAATTCATGTTTCAAAAAGCTAGTGAATAAACACAGAGAACATCCATTCTTAGCCTTTATACTAAGAATGATCTCTTAACTGTTCTGTCTTATTTAAGGACTGTCTCATATCCTACATCCTTTGTGAAAACTTTAATAACCAATTCATCATCAACAGCTGGAGTACAACTATCTACACATTAGACCATTACAACGTACCACATTTTATTAGTATGTATTCTAATAGTTGATTTGATTATAAGCCTTTGAAATTAAAGATCTTGTCATATAAGCCCTGGCCGGGTAGTTCAGTTGATGAGAGTGTTGTCCCCATACATCAAGGTTGGCAGTTCGATATCTGGTCAGGCTACATGCAAGAAGAAACCAATAAATGCATAAATATGTAAATATGTGGAACAACAAATCAATCACTCCCTCTCTCAAAAATCTATGAATAATTTTTAAAAAGATCTTGTCATCTCCTTAAGTTTCTTGCTTATAATCGATACAAAATAAATACTGAGTAATTACGATAGTCTTGCTTAACAGAAAATGGATTGCCAGTGACATAACCAAATAATAAAAGTAAAGAGAACCCTAATTTACCTTGAGAACTCCTAGAATTCCACCAGCAGGAAGTTAGTATTATTTCATTTGAATTGAATAGTGTGAAGACACAGGCTAATTGGGGTTTCCATTTCACAAGGACATTAAATAGTTTATTTATACAGTTACTAAAAGACAGCAGATGAAAAGTTAGCTCAAGAACCAGGTCAAACAGAATGCTCACAGTAAGTAAGTTATATTTTAACATTATTTTTCTTAAAATAGCTTCTAAGGACAGCAGTAAAGGACAAATTATATACTTATATCTATTTATCTTTTAAAGATTTTATTTTACTTTTAGAGAAAGGGAGGGAGAAAGAGAGGGAGAGAAACATCAATGGGTGGTTGCCTCTTGCACACCCCCAACTGGGGACCTGGTCAGCAACCCAGGCATGTGTCCTGACTGGGAATCGAACCAGCAACCCTTAGCAGGCTGGCACTCAATCCACTGAGCCACACCAGGTAGGACTTTCTTTTTTAAAATAGTAAAAAAAGGGGGTGTAAAGGAGAGAAAATATATCAATATAATAAATAGAAGTCACCGGTTATGTATCTATTTAACATGTTAATATTATGATGAATACATATTTGAATTTTTACTCATACCAGCAAGTTCCTTAAGACTAATTCTAGTAGTTTCTATCAATTTAGGCATGCCTGAATTAAAGGGAAAAATATTTTTTAAAGTATGAGACCCCCACATATTCTTTGTTATCAAAAGTTATCATTTATTTCAGAAACTGTTTATACCCTTCCCAGAAGCATCACTCTATCAGTAAATCCTCACTTAGTCACTGAATAAAAATAGATTTAGACAAATGGTTTTCTTGACTGAGAAATGATAAAAGCTCTCTAGCAGATTAAAGAATCGCTACCTACAGTGAAATCAACAGATCCAAGTCTGCCAAGTTTACATTAGAGATGAAAAGTATAGCTATCTTCAGAAGTGATTACTGAAGTTTTCTTTCACAGACTGCTCTATATGTCATAGCATTATACTGCATTGAAGTGGGAGAAATTTATGCCTCTAGTAATTACCATCCTGAGCCAACATATTAAAAGATATAGGTCAAAAACAAGAGTAACTTTGGCCAAAAATCACTCTCTATAAGATAGCAATAGATGCTTTGTGGGAGAGACAGGCATGATCTTCTACCATGAATGAAATGACTAAACTAAATTTATTACTTTATACCATAGTATTTTGACAAGCTGCATGAAGTCTAAAAAAAAAAAAAAAATTAAGTCATTACAAAACCATCAAAAGAAAATATTAAAGAATTACAGTTGTGAATCTGTTAAGTGAAAATAAATAACTGATTTACAGTTTATTTCAAATTCCCATATACTGCTATTGTCAAAATTGAGGCACATAAATATTTAAAGTCAAAACACACTCAGCCATTGTTGATAGTCAAGACAAGTGGCTGATGGTCTTCTAAATCTCTCTCTTCTGAAATAACTTATGATGAAATTGTTTATTGGTGTAGGAACGCTGGATCATATGGTAAGTGTATACTGAACTTTCAAGAATCTCCGAAGTGACAAGACTCTTTTTTTCTATTGCTTCATCTACTACATGTTCGCTTTGATTCTAATGCTTACAGACTCTCAGTCATAAGTTTCAGCTTCAGGCATCACTTCTCACACTAGTGTCCAAAACAGAAATGAAAGACAACAGCGAAACAGTGTTTGTTTTTTGATAATAATAAAAAATCTTTCCTAGAGTTCCCAGCAAAATTCCCCTTATGTTGAGTGGCCAACAGTGTTTGCAATAATATCTGAAATTCCCACTGTCAGCTTCTCAAAGAATGGGATCAAAGCCTAGCCTG